AACAATATGGCGACCGCTCATAAAACATACCAATGCGGGTATTCTTGGGTGATTGTGGGCAATCTCATGCTTGACTGCACCCAACTAATCCACGGGTGAATGCTTGGCTCTAGTATATAAGCTCAGTAGTTTTATGGTTTAAATAAATCACCTGGTGAATATGGAATACCCGCTGAGACCATTAAAACTATGGGTGATCTTGGCATCGACACATTTCACAAACTGTGTGTTATGATATGGCAAACAGGTAAATGGCCAAGGGAATGGTGCGAGTCGATATACATGCCGTTGCACAAGAAAGCCTCTCCGACAGATTGTAGCAATTATAGAACAATAGCGCTTATGTCACATGCAAGTAAAATTCTACTCCATATCATAAATGACCGCTTAAAGAATGTTTTGCTCCCACAGATCCCTGACGAACAAACAGGTTTTATGCCAGGAAAAGGAACAAGAGAACAGATCCTAAATGTAAGGCAAATCATTGAAAAAGCATATGAATTTAATGTTAAAACGTATTTATGCTTCGTCGACTACAGTAGGGCTTTTGATTGTGTAAAATGGAAGAAGCTGTGGCTGGTGTTAGAAAACATGGGAGTACCAAAACATGTTATATTTCTACTTAAAAATCTTTACGAAGACAGCTCCGGAAAAGTCAAAGTCAACAACGCTCTCTCTTTTTCCAAGTCTTTTAGTCCAAAACGTGGTATGAGACAAGGTTGTATAGTATCACCCATACTCTTCAACATCTATGGAGAGTACATAATGAGAAAAGTCTTACAGGGCTGGCGAGGCGGACTAATGATAGGTGGAAAAAGATCACAAACCTTAGGTATGCCGATGACACCTTAATTCGGGCATGCTCTGAGGAAGAACTTGTTCAAATAATGAGAAAGTTGAGTAAGATCAGTGCGGAGCATGGCCTTATGCTAAACAAAAGGAAAACGCAAGTCATGATAATAGACCGAAATCCTACAAACATCAGGGAGATTGATGGTTTTGAGGTGGTTGAAAAGTTCAATTACCTCGGATCCCTCATACAAACAAGGAAGGCTGTGACGAGGAAATCAAACGCAGACTAGCAATAGCTCGTAACTCGACTATAAAACTAACACGAATATGGAAAGACTCTGCAATATCCCATCACAACAAATTAAAATTAGTAAACGCATTGATCTTTCCTATCGCTAGTTATGCATCAGAGACCTGGACTCTACAAATAGACGAAAAATAGATGCTTTCGAAATGTGGGCCTACAGAAGAATGCTGCGAATTTCATACACAGAACATCGGACCAACGTATCAATTCTGGGGCACATTCTTCACTTCGGGCACATTTCGAGAAGAACAGATGGATTGGAAACAATCATAATCGAAGGGAAGATTAATGGCAAACGACCAAGAGGAAGATCTCCGACGCGCTGGGTGGACCAAACCAAAGAAATTATTGGTGACGGCCTGCAAGAGGCTTCTATAGCCGCTCAAGATAGAGAGGGATGGAGAACAACGATCCGAGCGATTGAGACATGATGTCACCATACTCTTTCGAGAGTTAACGGACGAGAAGAAGAAGAAGTTTTAGGGTTTAGATTAGTTTATACTTGGTAAGACAATAAAAGTCCGAAATTCTTTTAGTTGTAATTCTCTATCATACTTAATCAATTAATTATAAATATAGTACAGAAAAAATTCAGCCAATGTCGAAATATGTTCAATATCTGCTGCGAAGGTTTTCTTTTAAAGTTTTTTTATATTATTACTAATTTTTATGTTTTCCCAAACATAACAAATAAAAAGTTATATGTATTAAAGAGTTAGCAATCACGTGAATACGTAAATAAATTTACATATAAAATTTCACAGTCTTCCAGAAAATTCTTCGATACGTGATAAGAATTATTCTAAATTCCATATTCGAAGTTCTTACTATTCCACTTCAGTAAGATATTTTGCTTGTACCGTTTAAAATTTTCTCTACTCACGAACATTCTATTTTTTTATCTTATTTAAATATTTTATCAATGTCTTTTGGATTAATTCCAAATAGAAAAGGATGTATTAAAATAAAAGAGGAAAGAAACCAATAAGTACAGGAATTAATAAATTTCAACAGGTTTTTTATTTCATTTCGCCAAGACCAACATTTTCTCAGCTTCAAAATTAAATTCGTATGATTTAATGGTCGCAATTGTAGCAAATCATGTTGCAATTAAAAAACTATTTATTGCTACTCTGATTTTTTAATGTATTTTGGCTATATTGCTAGTTTTTCTTCTTTTAAATTGTAAAATGAAAATATACAAGGTTAAAAAGTTTATACAGGGTGCAAGTATTTCAACTGGTAGTCTATTTCCGCCACAGAAACACGCCTATGAGATATTTTGTGCGATTTTTTTTACATTTGGGATTTTTTGAAAAAAAATTTTGAAATTTTGACAACATAGGTAGTAGCAACATAGGCAGTAGCTTAAATTGGTGGCAACATAGGTAGTAGCTTAAATTTACATGAAAGAAAATCCAGAAAAGATCCAGTGGTTCACAAAATTTTAGCATTTATTTTTTTTGAAATTTTCAAAGTAAAATTACTCGGTTATTTTGGACTTATTTGAAAAACGGTAAAGAAAAAAAAAGTTTCTTTTGACCAGATCTACCACCCCTTAGAATACTTGCACTTATTTCTGCAACACCCTGTATACAGGGTGAGTTTTAAATAAGTGCAAATATTTTCAGGGCAGGTAGATCTCGATAAAAGAAACAGATTTTCTCTTTACGGTTTTTTAAATAAGTCTCAAATAAAGGAGTTATTCAAGTTTGAAAATTAAAAAAAATTGAGATACCGGATTTTTCTGTATTTGCATTCCTTTTAGTGCCTTAACTATAGAGTAAAGCCGTAACCATGGTCATATCAGAAAAAATACCGGGAAAATTTGGCAGTTCTAAAACAAATACGAACATTTAAAAGAAAATGTATAATTTTCTTTTAAAAAGCTTTTTTGGCGAAAAAATCTCAAAAACGTAATCCTGGGGTCGAAATATACCACACCTAAAAATATTTTCACTTGTTTAATACTCACCCTGTACATTTGTTTACTATTTTGTGTATGTCTACTTATGATAAATGGTCTATACCTACTCAACAAAAAGTTTAAACACTGAAAAACTGGACGTCATAATTTTGATGTATATGATTTACCTTTTTTAATTCTCTAAATATATTAATCTTCTATATTCAATTAATTAATTTTAATATTTTAATTTTGAAGTGCATGAAAGTTTGTTGCCGGTTAGTGTATGTAGATTGTTTTTATCTATCAAATTTAAAGTTTGGTTAATAATACAAAATTTTAATTATACAGTAATTATTTAATGTTGAGATGAGATAAAATATTATAAAAATTTGTTACAAAAACATCCATTAGAAAAGATCTGTTCTTTCCTAAGTTAACTCCAACTAGGTTAAAATCTCAGGAGACAAATTTTTCACTAACTTTTTAAATAAAAGGTGTAAATTACAACCCATTAGACCCAGCCAAAATTACTTGACCTTTAAACAAATAGCTATATCTTACACAGAAGCCCATTAAAACTTTAGTTTAAATAGTTAATAGGACTAAATTTATTTTAAACAAAAAAAAAGGTTACATATTTTTATGTATTAATTATATCACATTAGTTTCCTTCTGCTTGTAAATTTTTAAAATATTTATAATATTAAGTAATATATAAAATATGTTGGCCCTGCTTAACAAAAACTCTTATTTCAAATAACTCTAAATTTTTATTCGTTGCATACGAAGTAAATGAAATGTAAATTTATTATTAATATTTTGACATCCCTTCTATTAATTATTTTAAAGTTATTTAAACAACCTTAATTATAAATGGGAAAGGATCAAAGCTTAGCATCAATTTTTAACCACTATTAAACAGAAATAACTTATTAATTTGAAATATAAACCACATATTATTTTATTTATATGTAGTTATTTAGAAATAAACAATATATAAATTATATGTAAGTTAAGACACTTGTGTAATATAACTAGGCCCTACTGAGTATTTTTTTTATAAATATTTTTAATAGCACAATTTAAATTAAGGGTGAATAGCATTACTATAGTTTTAAAGTATTTGAGAAACAGTATATTTATTTATTTCTTAATTTTTACATATCAGGAATAAATAAAAATTTTAGTTTAAAGAATTATTGGTCTAATGAAAGTTTAAAGAATGATTATTTTGATGACTGATTGATTTTGTTTTTTAGTTATAGATTAAAAATAAAATATATATATATATATATATATATATATATATATATATATATATATATATATATATATATATATATATATATATATATATATATATATATATATATATATATATATATATATATATATATATATATATATATATATATATATATATATATATATATATATATATATATATATATATATATATATATATATATATATATATATATATATAATTTTAGCTGTATTCCGGACATCAAAATTTATCTTAGATTGTACAAAGAACGCCCTGACGATTACCTAATCTAGCATTAAATACAGATAGAAAATATTCCAAGTTTCTGTTAAATCTTGTAAGAGACTACAATATTATCATACGTCCTGATATCTATCTGTTTGAACTTTATAGTTATCTGAAAGTTTAATAGGGAATAGACGTTCTTCGTAGATTTGAAGAAAATTTAAATTTAGAATTCTTGTTTAAATAACGTTATACAATACAGGGTTTTTTTTCTTAAAAAAGTTGAATTTTATTAAAGTGTTTTACTATGATAATAGAACATATATATGGCTCTATGATTATAAATTTTATCTGTAACAACAGAGAAATATAGAGTTCTAATGCTCAATTTTAAAAATTTGAGATAGAATAATTTCAAACAAAATAAACTAGAACTTTGCGTGATCTAGTGGCATTCTCAATAGAAAGTGTGGCAATTCAATATAAAGTGTTTTACTTACTTTCGTTATCAGAAGAATAGTAAGGAGCTGGCGTTACACTGGCAAGCAACACCATAAAGGAAACGAAAAACGAGAAAAGTTTCATGGCTGTAGAGAGTTTCATGGTCAGGTAAAATGTGCTGAAATATCTCTGTAACAAAGAAAAATACGTCAAAATTAGTTTTTAATAAAACAAAGAGTTAAGTAAAACCGTTGATTGAAAGAATTGGGAAGATACCCAACCTAATGGAAGAATTCGTGACAAGACTGATTTGATTTCCCCTTACGTCTCAAGCCCCCCTTCCATAAGTCATCACACAGTCTATAACCCATCATACCCCTGTTGTAGAGGGGACAGGGTATTTCCTCTGACAACAGGATGGGAAAAAACTGTCCCCTCTACAACAAGGGTATGATGGGTTATAGACTGTGTGATGACTCAAGGAAGGGGGGCACAATAGATCTTTAAGGTTGCAGTGATTACCCCCCCCCCTTCTTACTCTTCTACATTCTACGTCTGAAGTGTTGTACAGTGGAGACACCAATCGTTCTGCGGTCAACGCATAAAACACTTATTTTCTCTAATTCGGCCAGTAAAGGCATATCGAAGACAGTGTGGATCTGAAAGCGACAGTGTTGCCATATTAAAATATGTAATATCTGTAATACGTGTGACGAAAATATCTTTGGATGAAAAATGCGCGTTTATGTATTATGCAAATTTATTCGTGTTAAACATAGAATAAACAACAAAAATAAAAATTCTTTTGGTGGATTGAAAACGACAAAATATCAAGAGACAACTTTAAATCGGCATTAAACGGCCTACACAATTATGCTAACAAAACAAAAAAGTATTTAACTTTAAATCAAAATGACAGAAAACTCTGTCATTGTCGAAACTCTATTCATGGACAGGGTATTTCCTCTGACAACAGGATGGGAAAAAACTATTTACAGGGTGTCCCAGAAATAAGTGCAAATATTTTAACTGGTAGTATAGTTCAACCCCAGAAACACGCCTATGAGGTTTTTTTCGCGAAAAAAAAATTTTGAAAATTCGAAATTTTTTGAAAAATTTTTTGATTTTTTTTAGTTTTTAGTTAAAAAACATAATTTCTTGATAATATGGCAACATAAGTATTAGATTAAATTTACAAGAAAGGAAATCCAGAAAAGATCCAGTGGTTCTCAAAATTTTAGCAAAAAATCATTTTTTTTCGAAATTTTCAAAGTAAAATAACTCCATTATTTTAGACTTATTTGAAAACGATAAAAGCGAAAAATGTTTGTTTTATCGAGATCTACCACCCCTTAAAATATTTGCACTTATTTCTGGGACACCCTGTATAGAGCTTACGCTAAAATTATACTAAATATAGAAAACAATAGCGTAGCTTTCTTTAGCTCTTTGTGAAATTATACAATTATTGTAAAAATTAATAAAGAAGTTAACAATTTTTTTTATCAAAACAATTATTGTACGTAAAATTTTCTTTTTAATCATGCTAAAATTAATATAGAAATTTTCATCAGAATAGAACCCGCGTATACTAATAATAACTAAAATTTAATAGAAATCTTATTTGTAAATTGTAATGAAATTTTGGAATTAAACCGATGACCAACTAGGTAAATATTTGTTGAACATCCAATTTTGTGCAGAAACAACAATAATTGCAACTTAAGTAAATACATATATTATATAAGTTTTCCTGCTATTTACGAGTTATTTGTTTAGAGATTTACTACTAGATAAATGCAACAAAAAACATATATCTACATTGTAAGTTTTATAGTAGGGTAGGCATTTTAGGTTTTGGGTGCCGATTTTCGTGTGTACGAAGAGTACGGTCAGCACGCTTAGTAAAATAAGATGTACTGAATAAAGACAGAAGAACAAGTACCGTATGATCGAAAATAACGACGTCCAGTTGGCCCGGAAATGGAGTCAATGACATTTCCCATATAATTTTATACATAAAATGACAGCGATCTTCATTTCATAGCCATCACTGACGCCGTTTTTATTTGATCATACGGTATTTTCCCAAGCGTGGGTAGCTCATATTTCGAAAAAGCATTTTTTACGAATAATTTGGTACCACGCACTTGGTACTTCGAGTCAAATTGTCGTGATGAACCGCATGTTAGAATTTCAAATAGATAAACCATATGCGAAAATGTCAAAAGTTGACATATGACATGACATAATGATTCAGAGTGTCATCAGCATTTTATTATCTTAACAATTACTATTTTATTATTAAATTGTATTTTTTGTATCACTGTCATTTACTTTTTAGTTATAATAATTTTCAAACTATTTATTAAACAATTAAAGAAGTATAATGTATCCCAGAATAATATATTGTTCAATTCCTTTGAAGCCTGTTTAAAATTATTCTACAATAATTTATAATACAAAACAAACGGTATAGATATATTTGCATGAAAAACAAGTATTTTATTATTTATAACAGACATATAAAATTTTACTACTAATATGTATTTAAATTATATTTAGACTACAACAAATAATTAATTTATCCTACACTTTATTTAAACATGGAATTAAAGGATTATAAAATGATAATCGTAGTTATAGGAATTGTGAAAATTATTTTACCACTATCGCGATTATATCTGATTTTTTAATAAATATTAAAAATATCTGTACCGCAGAAATTACGTACAAAAACTAAACATTTTTTGCAAATGCAACTTGTAGCTGCGGGGCATCGGTAAGGGGGGAAACAAAATTCTCTGTTACCAAGCAATTCATGGGCGTGCTATACATATTTTAAATAAATATTTTACTTATACAAAAATTTTAAAAATACCACATCAAGTTTTTCCACATAAAAGAGATAATTAAAATATTCACAAAAAACACAATAAAAATTAATAAAATCACGCAACTATTTTCACCGATATCGATTGCACTGTTCTCTAAGGTTGGTGTACTACCGTCTTCGTACCTAAAAAATTAAGCAACCCATCCCGTCAATAAAAATTCTACAAATTTGCAAGTGGTTAATGTAATGATCCACAACAATCATCATGATTTATAAAATATATTGCTGTTTATTTAAATATGTTTCTATAATATATAACCTTCTTAAGAATTCAGTAATACTAAATACTTACGGTCTTAGACAAAAACCGGACAATTTTGAAAGCTTTGGCAAAAAAGTTTGATGGGTTCTAAATTTGAATACAAAATAGTTAGTCTTACAGCTTCTTCTGAAAAAAATTGCTTAGATGGACAAAGAAAAAAAGGGACAAAGGGACATGTGCTCCCGGAAAGTTATGCATATTTTGTAAGAATTTCTGCATATTAAAAAGGCAAACTTTACATATAGGGATTTAGGCAAGATAAAGCAACCGTCTAAAATTTGATATCTACACATCATTTTCTATACAAATTTTTGCGTTTTATGATTATGTAGTCATATTGTATGATTAAACCGGGTGGTGCACAGAGTTGTTAAACTTCACGTAGTAATTAATCAACTACATTTATTACATGTCACAAGTAGTTTTTTAAATGTCGAGTAGTAAATGTGTAGTTTATGTAACTAATGTAGTTTTTTTAAATAACAGTGAAAACATAACCTAAAAACTTTGTTTGTTGATCAATTTAAAGAAATAAAAAAATTATATTTTGTGAATTTGTTCCTTATTATGTGATATTTTTGATACTAGGTAGTTAAAAATGCTTGGAAGACGTCAATGTCTCCATACCTTGCTCCATACCTTCTGGAAAGAGGGGAATTATGAAGGTGTGCCTTTAGATGTAAAAAATCATATATTCTCATGGAGAATGTCTATGGAGAATTTCTCCATAAGAATTTATAGTTTATTTTGTGTTCAATGTTACTTTGTATTTCGTAGAAAATACACTTTTAAAAACGAAACGTTCTCTAACCCAATATGAGTACATATTATCAAAGTAAAACCTCTGAAGGCGGGTAAGGGGACAAATAACTCACAATCTTTAAGATGTTAATTTAAATTTAAATGCTTTAAAAAAAGCAGGTGGGCGAATAATGAGAAATAAAATTAGTTAGAGATTTCTTCCGAGTAGTGGTACTTCCTAGGTTGACGTTTGTCTTTCTGGGCCTGATGATGGGAATTGTTTAAGTCCCGAAACATATCGCCCCCCTGCTTTTTTTGAAGCATTTAAATTTAAATAAACATCTTAAAGATTTTGAGTTACTTTTTATATACGATATATGGAGATGGTTACTGGATGAACATCGAACTACAAATTACTTAATAATAATAGTTAATTCTACCTGATATCCACATTTTTTAAATATGTTAGGCAAATTTTTACAATTATTTTTAATTAAACTTTAAAATGTATTCTGCCGTTATCATATACAACACATTTTCTTAACTTGTCGATAAACGTACAGTTTTCAAATTTTTTAATATTTGAAGACTTTATCACAAGATATATTATTACTAGTTGCTAAATACTCACTAATGCAATTTTAGGACATGCTTTTTATTATCTGGATTTTATTCTGTTCATCTTATGCTGTTTTTTATTTCATATTAATATTCGTGTTTTAGATCTAAATTTTAATGCTATTCAATTACCTTAACGCGATAAAAAGTTAATGTTATTTTTTAATACCTTTGTGTATAATATTTTTCATATTTATATCTGGCAAAACTATCAATAAATACTATTATTTATGCAAAAACTATATGCGGTACCATATGGCACAATACAAAAGCCCGACTATTGCGATGACGTCACAAATCGATGTCTCTGGCCTGTATCTCATGTTGGTTATGAATACACTTTTGTTGAAAAAAAAATTGTCTTTTTTTCTGATGTTGTTTTATAATTTTTACAAATATAATATAACTTCATACTTCCATGATAAGAATTTGGCTTGATTTTTGTTTAAAGTCTAAAAAGTCTAAATTGTTAATGTTTTACTATATTTTTGTAGGTAGTTTTTAACGTAGTTTTTGTGTAGTTTCTGTGTAGTTTTTGAAGGTAGTTTTTAAAATTTTAAAACGTAGCATATAATACAAAAAACTACGCGTAGTTTTTGGCGTAGTTTTTTTGCTTCATAAACTACTTAATAACCCTGGTGGTGCATTGGCGTTGAAAACATAGAAAATCCC